TGTTTCAGATATATTGGTACCATCTCCATAGCAGTTTTAGCATTACTGCATTTTGTTGTACACTTGCCATCAAGGAAATAATGTTTTCAGTTAAACAAAAACAGCTATAAATGAGGGAAGTTTCAACTGATGTTTTCACCATTTGCCATTATATGAATTACAAAGTAAGCTTTAAGAATATTTGAAATGATAAAAACAGATATTAAAATTACAGTCATTTGACAGGCCTCCATTTGAGTGCAAATATAACAACTTAATGTCAGAACTTTTTCCACATGGTATCAATGTTTATTTTTCTTTTCTGTTTTTCAGTTATTGTCATAAGTGTGATTTGTACAGAAAAATACAACACAATTCTACTTAACAATTTATTTTTAAAACAATGAATTCAAGGTTTCTCCACATAGGTAAAATTACTAGTGCTCAAAAAGATTAAACCAGTTCGTAATGATAAAGTAAAGGCTCCAGAAAAAACTGACTTAAGAAAATTCTTCACTAGTTTGGCTGCAACAATGTGTGTTCTGGAGCTCTTTCACGTGAAAGTAAACCTATACATATTTTAAGGAGGGCTACATTACATGATTTCAGAGTGAAAAATCTCACCGGTTCTTAGAAAGAACAATAAAATCTGGCAGTCATTTAAACATAAAACCAAATAATAGAAATTATAAAAGTATCAGGCATAAAAGTGAAAATCAACAGAGGAAGAAAAAGATAAAAGCATTTCCCCCTCTCTCTATGCCTAAATACCTTTATATAAATAGCAAAAGCTATAAAAGAATATGCAACATCCCTTAAGGGTATTAAAAAAACCAAACTCATTTTAGCAACAGATTTGTATACATGAAAGTTGTGACAGCTTCATGCTTTGACTGAACAACACTGAGATAACTGAAAAGTAATAGAAATACGTTTATCTTCATCACCAAGGAATCTTCAAAATATAAATACAAGTATGAATTAAAAAAATCATTTTTGGAGAGGATGAAGAATATTTTCATCCCCTAGACTTTAAAATTAGTAAATTTATTTCAGATTTTAACCTCCTCTTCCCCACAGCTAAAGTTTTTTCTTACATAATGGTCCTAATACTGCAAACACTTGTGTATAAAATTATCATGTGTTTGAAGGATCACGGCTGTGAGAGTAAGCAGTTTATCACTCTTTAACTTGATCCAAGGAATTCAACTGAAATTAACAAGGCACTGCTTTGTAACAGCCAATTGAATACAATAAGCCAACTGGTGCTGTAAATAACACACTGGTAAACAGGCCTGATTTATGTGCAAGACACCTTTCGTTTATTGTATTCTCTCTTAGTTATCTGGTTTGTTTTTTTATGCTAACCTCCCATTCCCCAAACTCTATTCAAAGTGTATGTTACGTCCCACTATAAGACTGCTCTGAATCTGACCTAATTCAGAGTTGACATTAACAGATCAAGCACTGAGAGAAAACATTTCCAGTGTAGGCTTAAACATTACCAAGACACATCACATTTTTGACAGATGCAATTTCTACTTCACAGTTTGCACTGATCAAAGATTATGGAATCCCCAAAAGATAACATTCTCCCTTCAAGGAATGATTTAACCAGCCTCACTGGATTACTTCTCCTCTTTTCCCTTTCAATTATCATATTTTACTATATCCATTCAAACCAGTTTTGTTTCTCTGGAAGACAGAGTAAAAATATGTTCCTGTTAGTGGTAAAGTATATATACTCCCAGAATATTACATTAATTAAAGCACATTTTATTTCTATATTCAGAGAGAAAAAGGAGGGGTATGTCTGCAATACAACAACTATACAAAGCCCAGCCATAAACTGAAGCCACAGATGCAAAATTAATTAAAAATAAGAGTTCTACTCTAAGAGGCACACAAAACCCAAGTTGTTTTGCACTAAAACTCCAGTGTTGCCTGTTGTCTGATCAGAGGATTATTGTTTCAATGGCATCACCAGTAATTAAATGGGGATGTAAGAGCAGATTTCAAGGGGCCTTTTTGTTTTAACAATACTTTTCCCTGGTGCCTTGTCAAATCTGAATCAAGTGGCAGACTTCATTTATTTGTTCAAAGCCAGACACTCTTAAAAATGAAATAAGCCAAGGCAAAATTCCTCCTTTAAAGTATTCAAAATACAAATACCCTTCTCTGAATAGCTTCATAAAATCTAATCCAGGAGACGTTCTCCAGAGAGTCCCTATGCATTCATTTAGAACAAGAAGCTTTGGGCATGTGTGCATGCCCACAGAACACGCACAAGCCTTATGCAGCTCAGAAGGGGACACTCAGAACGGACACTGTACTCAGGAGATCACAGGGACTGCACACTCCTGGAGAGCTAGATATTGAAAAAAAGGGAGTAGGCAGGAAGCAGGGTGATGACTCTACCACATACATGGAGCAGGGTGGTAACACAGGCTCCGTCAGTTAGCAGCCAGTGGGATTCTGTGTGGATGGAGCAGGCCGCACACCTCCCATGCACAAATATATAGCCCAGTAGACAATGTACCTTCCACAAGGACAATGTTCCCTGTTCCTGTCACCCCAGTACACAATTCAGGTTCTCTGTTAAATGCCTCAAATTTTCCCTGTTTATCTGATTCACCGGTCACATATAAGTTTTTGTACTTGATAAAAATACATAATAATCACTGAGGGAAATCCACCAACATTTTTCCTATTCTCAGATAAGAATGGATGTTTTCAAGGCAATTATCAAGAAAGGCAAAGTCAGTATCTGATGAGAATCCAAAAGATGGTTTGGCATTCGAGCAAAAGAAGCTTCCACTGAACACAAGCAGATTTGTAATACAGAGTAAATAAGAAGGGTATTAGAAATGGGAATGAGAGACGGCAAAGAAAAACAAAGAAATGCAGGAGAGAGGCAGCAAATTTGACTAATTTGATCTCATTGCCAAATTCTCCCTCATAAATTCTGAACTAGCTTCCCAACCTTTCCCCATTTGTTAAATCACCTCCCCAACTTCTTATAATTAAAAATCAGATTCTTTCATTAAAAGGCTCTCTCAATTTTTTTCATTGTTATAAACTGTAGAACTGTGGTGAAGAATGTTAGATGAAGATGTTTATTATTGCCCCTGTCCAAACCATGGTTCATGCACCCCAAAACACCCATTCCAATTATCCATTGACCATAGACTCTCAAAGGCTCTAATCCTGCCCATTTAGTCTATGTCTAGACCACAGCTCCTTTCCGGGATACAGGAGGTATCCCAGAAAAGCTATGCTGCATCCAAGGAACGCATCCACTTTTCCCCCAAAAAAATCAGAAAAGCAGATGCGTTCTTTTACCATCCTCATAAACCTTGTTTCACTAGGAAGGAAGGGATAGCTCAAAAGAGAAGGTTTTTCCGAAATTTAGTGCTGGGTAGACATGCTAAATTTCAGAAAAGCCTCTTTTGAAAGAAAAGTGGAAAAAGTTATGCAAGTTGCATATCTTTTTCCAACTTTTCCTTGGAGTGTAGACCTAGCCTTAGAAAGTCTGGATGCAGTATATCACTCAGAGTCACACTAACTTTCTTAGAGCTCTGAAAAGGAACAGCCATCTTTCCATATACTATAAATAAATTGTAGGATAAGAGCCATAATTTATACCTGACTTTTGGACACAGCAAAAGATTTGGAATTTTCATAAACACCAACATTTTAAAATGCATGCAATGATCAAAAGTATCAATTTTTTCAGAACTTGTGTCAGCCTTACATTTTGGACATGATCTTTTTTTTTTTTTCCCCCTTCTTCTTTGCCTCAATTTTCCCATCCACCAGGGTTAAGGAATTAATATCCCATTAGGTTAATTTTCAGAAACAATGTCCAGCAGTATCTGTAGTTGTAGATGCACCAATGTAAATTTGCCCTCCTAGAAAATAAACATATCTTCTATTAAACTGTCACTATAATGTGTAAAAACAACATTTTAAAACCTCCTCTACAGGTATCACAAGAATTCTGAAAAACAGATTTTGTGGTAAGTTCCATAAAGTGCACAAAATATTAATGGAAATATTTTTAAAGGGTTCTCATTGTCATCAAAACTCTTGAAATGTTGTTAAAATTAAATAGAAGTTACCTAAATGTGACTTTTTGGCTCTAATATCTTGGCAGAAAGCAGCAACATCTCAGCAAAATTACACCAACTAAATACACTGTGCCATAGCAGCATTAAAAACCCCTACAATTAGATGCAATTGCAGGCATAATAAGCAGAAAACTGACAAAATATTAGAAATGTAATTTTTAAAAGAAGTCTGGGTTTCCATTGAATTCTGGAGGTAATAGCTGTAATTTTGTTTACATTGTTTCTGACAGTAAACCCAGTTCTAATCAATCACTTTTCCATAAAATTGCACAAGATATTGGAAAACATACTCAAGTTATAAGATACGGCAGTTTAAGGGCCATATTCAAATAAAACAGTACATAGAACAAACAATCCCAGAAAACGACTGTCATGTCAAATAGTTCCAATTTTTACACGACTGACCGGTGCTCCCCACACACATAGATGGCACTGGGCCGAATGCGTCTTCTTGTGTGACCAGGGAGCTGTGGCAAAAACTTGAAGTACTTGGGCATCAAGTCTAAGCACGCATCATGAAATTTCTTAATCCTCCAGTAGTAAATCAATGGGTTCAGTGCAGACTTGAGGTAGCAGAGCCAAAGGAGCCAAGTGCTTATCTCAAAAAAGTTGTGCTTGTAGTAAAAGTGACTGTTGAATGTGGCAATAAGGCTGTATGTGGTGAAAGGTGCCCAACAGACTATGAAAACGATGAACAAAATCAATATGGTCGTAAAGGCACGAGTTTTAAAGCTCATATCAATGCTCATTTGAAAAGGTCTCTGAAGGCTCATAAGACCAAGCTTGCTAGCCTGGCTGAGGCATATGCTGTCAGGATGGCTGTGGATACGCACTGCATTGTGGCGTACAGTGTTGAGTATGCCCATAAAGGAGTACAGCATCACCATGAATGGAATAAAAAAAGAAATTAGTACAACTAGAATCACATATGCCTGGTACCCAGGACTAGTGGTGTAGCCAAAAACACACTGAGGTGCTCTAGAAGGTATCTGCAGGTTGGGGTTTCCCACAGATAATGGAAAAGCCACAACAAAGGACGCAGCCCATGAAACAGCAATAAGAATCTTTGCACGGTAAGGATTCAGCTTATCTTGCCTCTGAACTATAATTAGGAATCTATCAATGCTAATAATGAGTAGGATGGCTACCCCCTCTATGACAAACAGCCAGAAAAACATGGCAGAGACTCTGCAGAATATATCCCCAAAAATCCATCGCGTGGTAATGATGGTTATCAGAGCAAAAGGCATGTTCATCACTGCAAGCAACATGTCTGCAAAAGCCAGGCTCGCTAAGAGAATATTAATTGCAGATCGCATGGCAGCCTTCTGGTAGACCATGAGGCAGACAACAAAGTTTCCAAGAAAAGACACCAACAGTATAAATACCATAGCAGCAGACAGAATGATCTGGAGTGGCAGACTCAAACTCTTGAAAACTTCCTGTGTTGGCAGGATAGCTGGGCTGGTCACTAGTAAAGTACTTATCTCAGTGGTGACCATGGCCCCTGAACTGTGCATCAAAGGCTGTGTTGTGTCACTACGAAGCAAAAATTGGGGAGTGGTAAAATTCATGTAGGCATTTTCATAGACAATAAAAGTAGCATTCAGTATCCTAGAGTGGGCAGATGTCAACATTGCAGAGAAAACCATTGTTACAGGAGGAACGAATGCAGAGCCAAAGTCCTCAAGGCATTTCAGCTTCTAAGGGCAGTATCATGTTCCTTGGCCATGAACCAAATCAGGATTTCACAACTGAAAACAGCAGAGCTCCAACTTTTGTGCCAATATTTATGCCTGAGAAAACAAAAACAAACAAACATAGGAATGAAACTTAACATGAACAGAAAAATAATTGGTTATTAGACATCATTAAGCACAAGTAATATAATAAGTTTGAGAACCCCGTCTTCTGATGTTGATAGAGAAATTAACAATAATAAAAACAAATCATGAACAATAAGTCCAGACTTTTCTCCAGTCTTCTCCTACGGTTCCTAGTTGTTTAGGTCTTCTCAAACCCCAACTTCCTCCACTTCAAATGCCCCCAGAAAGAATGGCTTCCCTACAAGCTCGATAATGCTGGGAGCTGTTGCAGGACCAGGACACTTTCAGCTTCTGTTTCAGATCTTTAATCTCTTCCTATTCTGGTTCAGTATGGTGTTTGTTCACTCCTTTACAGGAAGGTACATTATTACTATGAATGTAACTATACTGTTGATTTGCAAGTTTAATTATTTTCCCTTACTGCTTGAAGGGAAGAGGATATTTTTTACTCCTATCCTTCATTATTTCAGAGCCCTGATGGTAGCTCAAGGAAAGCAGATTGTTCTCCTAAATTCTGTACTGAGATTGTTTAAAAATGCCAGATAAACTAAGTTTCAAATTTCTTCTCCTTATTTCTCACCTTTAATTTCTACTTCATATTAACTCCTCTGAAACAAACATAAATGTTAATAATAAATTAAAGCACAAACAGTAGACCCAAAGTGAGCAAGTGCTCCAGGACTTACTGAGAAAAAAAGTCAATTTAGAAATCTTTCCTCTAATACAGGTTGAACCTGTCTTGTCCAGGACTCTTCAGTTCCGCAACATCCATGATCCAGCATGATTTTAGTTAGCTGGATGTCAACTTAACATGGGTGTGGCCAAGTTTTCCATGGCCCCATAAAGTTTGTTTACAGACACTACTTCTAGCTTTCAGTGTTTTGTGCTGTTATTTAGCACTAATTTGTCTTCTTAGAAATCAGTAATCAGTGGAAGTGTTGGTAATGCTTTTAGACAATATTGACCTCCCAATGTCCAGCAGATTCTCTGTTTTGGCACCAATCAGGTCCCGAGGATGCCAGACTAAAAAGATTCAACCTGTTATCTTCTCTACCAAAATGTTAGAATTCTGTTGGTAATCAACATCTAACAACAACTGATCCTGCTGTTTTCTGGTTCAGTCGAATAGTGATTGACAGAATAAGCATCAAAATCCTGATTAGAAGACTCAAAGGCCATTACTTAATAGACACTATGAAGAGAGAAAGTAGCATCAATGTTCCATAAGATGTGATTTGAAAGGAAGCATAAAACCCACAAATAATTCATGGTTTAGAATGGTAAATAACTGAAAATAAGGTCTCAGTAATGATGTCTGGTAGGCCTCTATAGGGTATGGGAACCAGAAGTCAGAGTGGATAACTAGGAAGGGAAAAAGCCTAATACTCTGTATACATTATGGCTGTGTCTACACTGCACCCCTTTTCCGGAAAAGGGATGCAGATTAGACACATCAGAATAGCAAAATCCGCGGGGGATTTAAATATCCCCCGCGGCATTTGCATTTACATGGCTGCCGCTTTTTTCCGGCTTGGGGATAAGCCGGAGAAAAGCGCTAGTCTAGACGTGATTCTCTGGAAAATAAGCCCTTTTCTGGAGGATCTCTTATTCCTACTTGAAAGGATCTCTTATTCCAGAGGATCTCTTATTCCTACTTATTTTCCGGAGAATCACGTCTAGACTGGCGTTTTTCTCCGGCTTATCCCCAAGCCGGAAAAAAGCGGCAGCCATGTAAATGCAAATGCCGCGGGGGATATTTAAATCCCCTGCGGATTTTGCTATTCAGATGTGTCTAATATGCATCCCTTTTCCGGAAAAGGGGTGCAGTGTAGACACAGCCTATGAGTGGCAAATGGAAGATATCCTGTTCTGATTGGAGGTGAGGGATAGAGTTCAGTATGAAAGTGTTAGTAGGTCCACCTTCAAGCTTCAGTTAAGCAAGGTACTTAAGCTTATTATTAAGCTTTATCCCAGTGAAGACAATAAGACTTGCTTAAAGTTAACCATCCAAGTCTGCAGGATCAGGGCTTTAAACAGCTTCATAAATCTAATCCAACTCTAATGTTTTAAATTTAGGATATTGTTAGGTGCTCACATACTATAGCAGAGGGTTTTGCACAAAATGTTAGACAGAAATCAATCAATCAAAGGTATTCTTATTTGGAAATAGGGAGGTTAAAAAATATAAAGTTTGTATAATTAATTACCCCTTTAACAATAGCAGAAACAAGTTTGGGGAAAAAAGTATGAGCCGCAAAGCTTATTTTACATATCCTGTACCAACTCACAAGCATACATGTGCTGTCCCTTTCTGTCTATTTAAATCCTAGTAGCTAATATATGCAACATAGAAAGGGTTACATTCACACAAGCGAAGAGTACCATTGAAAGGTTTTCCTCACCATTTAATCCCTTCTGACAGGCTGTGTTGGGGGGTACCTCTGAGCCTTCTGAGTACCAGAATATGGTCAATGGAACTGGAGAACCCATATTCCCTAGAAGGACTGCTATCATTGGTGATGGGACATCAGAAAAACAGGCAACATAATAGTTATGCTAGGAGCAATTCAGCCATATAGACCAAGCAATGCATGGGGCTTAAAGCAGCTCCATTTGTTCAATTTACTCTGTATTCAGTTTCACTCCTTGCAAATGAAACAGATATGGAGGGCATGGTCTACTCACTGATTCCAAATAAGGTAGAATTTTGGATAAGCTGCTATGTTCATGAGTAAAAACAGCTACATAGGTCCACAGAATGGCTTTAGATCTTTTCCTAGTCCGTGAGGATTGAGTACGAAGCAAGGAAGAGCTGAGCTTCAGCTCTATGCTCTATCTGTGAGTTGAGGGAGTGGTTAGGATTCCCTTCATCCAACCCCACGGAGTTCCTCCAACAAGGCCTGAGCAATCAGTTTTTTTGCACAGAGAGAAACTTAGAAATGATTATGTTCTTGATGGTAAGAGGTGAGAACAACTCACTTTTGTTCTGTCACCCATCTTGTGTTTCCCAATGCAAAAAAAAAAAAAATTGGTAACAGAAACAAGGGTTGAAATGAAGTCAGAAAGGAGCTAAGAGGAATTCACAGAGATTTTGTTTCATTCTTCAGTAACTAGCCATGAAGACCAAATCCTACAGTTTCAGACAGAGGGGTGCATTGGACAATGGTTATTGAATTGAGTATAAATGAGCCTATGGATTTAAGATAATCTAAATCAGCAAACATATTTTGGTAAAAGTGGACAAATATGATGCTGATAAATTTTTCTCACTGTATTCTTATTTTTGGAACATGCGCTTTCATTGATTCTTTTCAAGTGCATCAAAAAGCTACAATCCAAATTACTGTTTCCCTTTTCAACACAGAAAATTACTGAGTATGCACATTTCCTCTTAAGCAAATTTCTTATTCAAATGCAACTTTCTTTTTAATGGAGCATTATACAGATGATTGCTTCTGATGTAGTGTAAACTTATAGATAAATCTCTCACAAATTTCATTCATTAAATATAATTATTAGTAGATCTCTGTTTGAATTTAGCAGATTTTGAAGCCAAAGGCAAAAAATTATCTGTTAAGAATTTGGAAAGTTTGCCCAACTGTCAAAGATTATGTTTCATGTAGAAAGCCAATAACCATCAAATAGTGGAAGACTTTTATTTGTAAATATAGTACTGCAGCAACAATTGTGTTTGGGGCACAGTACATTTGGTATTGCTCAACTATGCCATTAAATTTAAGTTTCACCTGTTTATATGCCAAATTCAAGTCACCTAACACTGATTTTCTTCAAAGATGGCAGGTGATATAAACACATAAAAAGGAAGAACTGTAACATACCTCTTTTATATGGTCCCACTTAGGTTTTGATTTTTTTTATAATTGCCATGAATGGTTAATTTTAATTCACCTTTGGTTGTGTTAAAGATGTGTTCTGTTCATTTTTTACTGTGTTTATTTTTACTTAAGTCTATGTCCTCGCTATACTAAATAACCAGGGTAACAAATACAGTTAGCATAAACAAGGATATAGGCATGTAGTACAGATTAGGGAAACATTTTTTAAATATAAAACCAAAATGCTATAATTAATGTAACTAAACGGTATCCTTTCTTTGATTTCCATACCTGTGTAAGAAGACCTGGCAGATTTTTTTTTTGTTACACGGGTGGGAAAGGACTTCTTCAATGACTTAATATTCAATTCAGAGCAAGGAGAGGGGCTTAATAGGACTGGGTGATTCATTTGTCAACCTAAGTGACTTTCCACTGGTTAGACAATTGAATTTTCATAGCTAGTCTCTAATCATGAAGACTTGTGTGTGCAGTACCACCATTAACTCATCCATCCATCCAACTCTTTTTCAAATACCAAGATAGGGCCAAGGCTATGAACAAATTCCATCCCTATCTGATTTGAGTCACCATTTCCATTTGAATTTGTTGGGGTGTCCTGTCTGATCCTGGTTGATCCTATATACCATGTTATACCACTGCCTCACTGGATATCCACAGCTTCTCTCTCCATGCACTCTTCCATTGTGAACAAATTTAGGCAGCCAATATGGGTGTCAGTGTAGAAATATAGCCAAACCATTGTTGTGTGCATTTTTTTGATGACTCTAACATTTCAGTCCTTTAAGGATGTCATCATTTCTTAGTCTATCAAGCCATGTCATTCCTAGGATATGGCACAGACACATGAGTACCAATGTCTGCAGCTTTTGCTCCATGTTTTGCAACCATAATGTAATGTGGGTATACGAGTGCTGTTTTACATTCCGAACATTTTTATTCTGTTATATGAATGGTCTCCAGGCAGTAGCTAGAGGCTTGTCAATGTCATCTTCATGGTAGCTGTCCAATGTTATAATAAAATCCATGTAGCAAAAACCGTCTACTTGTGTGAAGTCTATACCATTAATGTAGTTTATTAAATGACTAGTTTAGTCAGTTTCTGATCTCATTAATTTCACGAGTTTGGTTTTTTTTGTTCATTTTTAATCCCATTCTCTGGATGGTATGCACAGATTAAATGCTGATCCTTGACTGCAGTATCATTATGACCAGAATTATAATTACGATATCTGGAAAGTCAAGATGATTAATAATTTGCCAGGATATCCGGCAGCCTCCACCAATGTTAACTAAGGAACTAGAACAGGGTATATTTTCTTAGGTCATATCTACACTACAGAAGCACTACTTGGGTGCTGTAGTTATCCTGCCTTAGTGCCACAGTTTAGATCCTTACTAATGTGATGGAAGAGAATTTCCATTGTTGTAGAAACTCCACCATCCCGAATGAAGGCAGAAAGTTCAACAGAAGCATATATCTATCAACATAGTTATCTCTACACTGTGGCATCAGATGGCAAAGTTATGGCACTACAGAGTGTGGATTTTTCACATTTCTGAGCATTATACCTACGTCGACCTTTAGAGTGTAACCCAGGCCCAACTGTAGAGCAAAAAATCTTGGATTGAGCACGCAATCCCTGTTTGACTTCAATTTTCACTTCAAACCACTATATCGACTCATCACTGCCTTGTATTGCATATCTGAATCAACTTGCTTCTAAACCCACACCACTATCAGGTTCTGAAAATAATCAGGTCTCTGGAAAAACAACAAGGTACTTTGTTCAGATGGTATACACGTGAAGTGTTAAAACACGGGCAGAACAGGCACAGTCATGCTCCTTTGCAAACCACATTTTTTACCCAAATGAGGTAAGTGTTCAGTCACTGTATCACTCTTTAAAACAGGTGACCCAACATATTTTAACAACTACAGAGAAATACAGGTAGTCCCCGAGTTATGCGGATCCAACTTACGTCGGATCCGCAGTTACGAACGGGGATTTTCTCGCCCCGGAGGACTCGAGTGGCGGGACGCCTGGTCCCGCCACCCGCCTCCTCCAGGGCGAGAAAAGCTGCTCCCCATCTCCCTGGTCTGCTGCGGGAGCCAGCAGACCAGGGAGACGGGGAGCAAAGCGGCGCAGGACCCGGGGCCGGACCCGCGGCCGCTTCCAGCTGATCTGGAAGCGGACGCGGGGCGGGCCCCAGGTCCTTTGCCGCTTTGCTCCCCGCCTCCCCGGTCTGTTGGCTCC